AAAATGTTAATTTCAACAGAAATTCTATAAACAAGCCAAAATAGTTCTAGTCAACAACGAAGCATAAAGAAAACACTTCAAAAGTCCATATGAACACAAAACCAAATAAATTTGGTTGATAGGATAACACTCACATACACACACACACAAGTAAATGCATTAATAATGTAAAATTCCAAACAACCAGACACAAGATAACGAAAAATCATCAAGCCACAAGAAAACAGCTTAGCATTCAACACAAAAAAAAAAAAAAAAAAAAAAAAAAAAAATCATCAATCTGCATACCCATTTTCTTCACATGTTCATATCAAGTCACAGAAGTCAATCATCCCAATTATTCACAAAGCGATCCCCACTTTTCTAGGTTTTTTTGGGGGCAAATAGACGATGAATAAGATTAAAACGAAGAAGCATCAAGAATCCTATTAATTTCAAAGCAGACAAATGATCAACACAAGCATACTGAACCTGAGCCGGCGTCAGCCACTGATTGTCCCATCTGCTCATCGTAACCGCCCTCGGGTTCTCCATCCCTCTCCAGCACAACGCCGATGAGGGTTCTCAGCCCCACACAGTTCAGCTCTGCCCTCCCGTATCTCTCCGCCGCTATGCCCCTCAAATCCACTGTGTTGGTGTTGAACCCGAACTCATAATTTTCCCCGATCTTCTCCAGGTACTCCACTGTGTTGGTGTTGAACCCGAACTCGTAATTCTCCCCGATCTTCTCCAGGTCCTGATCCACGCCGATCCCGACGAACGTGTAGCTAGGGTTCGTGAGGAAGTCGACGAGCGATTTGGGAATATAGGGGAAGTGGATGAGTTGATATATAAGTGTTGTAACTTAATATATTATATTGGAAATATTGGAATGGGGATAAAATGTATAAGTGTATATTAAACTTAATATATAAATAGTTTTAAACTTTGAAATTTTACAAATACTGTTAGTATTCCAACATCAATGTAATACATGTGCTAAATAAAAAAATTTATACCTGAAATAGTTTTTAAAAAAATAAATTTATTTTAATTTTTTAAATATTTCTTAAATGTTGTATTTTTTATAGATCATTATAAAAATATTAATTTGATACGATAATATAAAAAATTATTAATTTTAACATAATTTATAATTTTTTTAACATTAATTTGATATGATAATATTAATTTTAACATAATTTATAATTTAATTTACCAAGTGTTCTATAGTTTTAATGTTCTTAATGAGCAAGAATAAAATTACAAATCTACATGGACTATTTTGAAAACCACAAATTGACATATGAGATTAAGAAAGTCAGAAACTAACACATAAAATGTCAAATAAAATGTCATTGTATTAATAAATAAAGTGAAGCTTTTGAAAAAAAAAACGTAATATTTAAATACATTTTCAAAAAGTGTCACCATTTGTATAAAATTGGGGACACTATTTCATAAATTGTCATAAATTAGCAACATTTTTAAATAAATGTCTCAAAATTTTCAAAAAAGTGTCACCATTTGTATAAAATTGGGGACACTATTTCATAAATTGTCATAAATTAGCAACATTTTTAAATAAATGTCTCAAAACTGGTGAAATTACGACATTTTTTTAAAAGCATCATTATTCCATTACACTTTTTAAAAAAGTGTTGCAATTATTTTATTTTTGTAACATTTTTT